ACAAGAAGCTGGAGGTCTATGTGTTCAATTTACACATGAGTGTTTCTCAAAATTCGGACCCTCTCCAGCTGACTGGTAGTTGCTTTTCCTTAACACCACTCAAAAGGGCCCCCCAATGTCGACACCCCAGATTCCTGAAAAAGTGTTCCGGCTTGTCTCTTAAGATATTGTTACATGGCCCCCCCTTTCAGCCAGGGGTTGAAGTGTCAAGTGAATGAGATGGGAACTTGGTACTGGCAGGCACAAAGGAGCTGGCCGTCTGAAAGGTTCCGGCAAATCAACCTGCGAGGAGTCCGAGCACTCGCGGGAGCCGTCAGAAGCAGAGCCTGCTCTGCCTGCTGTGGCATTCGAGGCGCGGGGCCAGCAGACTTGGATGGACATATGGATCCCTTGCGGATTTTTTTGACAATTCGGACCCGTGTAAAGGGCCCCTATGCCAAGGAGCTTTGCCAGGCTTACAATATGTGAATGCCTTTTCATTTCAGGTGTCTTGCGGCACGGAAAACAACTTGCATACCTTCAACTTGAAAAGGGCCCTTCATTGCCCAGAGAGCTGGTACGGTAGAAAGCAGCTAGGCCTCAGGGTGTAAATCAGACACAGAATTCGGACTCCCATTTTGAGAATGAGTTTAAAGGGAGACACCCGTGAAATCCAGTGCCAGTGTTTGAAGAAGCGCCAAATTCTGCTTCTGTTTGTTCATTGCAGGCTCACACTGCCTCCGCTGCCGCGGATGCAGACAGCGTCAAGGCAACGGGTATTTGGACTCCGAGCGCTGCATGTGAGTTGTCAGAAGGCCTCCAGTTGTAGGGTTGCCTTTGAGGTCAACCACCGGGGGCCACTTTTGCGCATAAACAGGTCTGGGCCAAATATAGCTTCTGGCAACCAGGGATGGTGGCCGATCCTTTGGCAGCCATGGTTGAGGGAGAACCTCGGCCCTTGGCTCACAGCCTTTTTGACCGCCCGTTGTGCGCCAAGACGAGGGACCTTGTTTGGTCTATCTAGGATGGAAAACGAAATTACCTCCAAACATCAGATCATCAGACTCAGTATTCATTTTGGCGTTCACTCTGCACTTCAATGTTTCTCAATCATACGTAAGATCTCCAGGTGACAGGTATCCTTTTGTATTCCATTTTTCAGCATGCACAAAGAGCCCCCACATGTCGAACGTGGATTCCTGAAAAAAGTGTTCCGGCTTTTCGCTTAAGTTATTTTTACACGGGACCCCCTGTCAACCAGGTGTTGAAGTGTCAAGTGGATGAGATGAGAACTTGGTACGGGCAGGCAAAAGGCTGAAAGGTTCTGGCAAATCAACCTTCGAGGAGTCCGAGCACTCGCGGGAGCCGTCAGAAGCAGAGCCTGCTCAACCTGCTGTGGCATTCGAGGAGCCTGGGCAGTGAAAAGACTTCTTGACGCTCATATGGAACCTTTGCGGAATGTGAGGATCCCTGTAAGGGGCGTCTATGGCATCAAGGAGCTTTATCTATGGCTCTACATATGCCTATGAATTATGATCTGCAAAGCTGGTTGTTTCCTGGTATACGGAGAACAACTTGCATAGCTTCAAGCAACTTGGAAAGGGCCCTTCATCAGTGACCAGAAAGCTGGTACGTTGGAAAGCAGCCACGTGTAGGTTGCAGGATGTGTCTGCCTGGCGCAGAATACGTGTTGGTGTTGTGGACTCTCATGTTGAGAATGAGATTCAGGCAAAAGCGTGGTTTCCAGGCCAAATCCAGGGGGTTCACTTAGGAAACACCAAATGCTTCTGGCTGCTTGCCAGCTGAATTGAAGTACTGGCGCACGCGCACGCAGCCTCCGCTTTGGCCGCGGATGCGGACAGCGTCAAGGCAACGGGCGTGTGATTGAGAATCGTGCCGCTTTTTACATATGCCTTGGTCAATAAAAACAGACCTCGAGCGGGTTCCCCTTCAATTGAGATCAACTAGTTAGCGAGAAGGGGTGTTTTTTGTTCCCATGAAAATTGACTCTTGGCAAACGAGCCGCCTAGGGATGATGGCTGATCCTTTGACAAGCATGGCTGAGGTGGGACCTTGCCCCTTGGCTCACAGTCTCTTTGACGGCACGTGTTTCTCCTGTTTGGTTTATCCCATAATCTACAGATCATTGCTATGCTGCACCATTGTACACCGTTTTCTTTGCACATGAATGTGTTTTTTACAGTTCAGGCCCCTTTCAGGTGGCCAATGTTGACCCCGGATCAAGTGGGGCAGACCCACCCTATCAACCAGGGGTTGAAGTGTCAACTAAATGAGGTGGACCAAATGAACCTGCGAGGAGTCCGAGCACTCGCGGGAGCCGTCAGAAGCAGAGCCCGCTCAACCTGATATGGCATCCGAGGAGCAGTGTGGTCAAGTGGCGTTTGGATTTGCTTTTGGTACGGATGGTTATGGAGCCATGAGCAGGGGCAATTTAGACCACCAAAGTAAGGATCCGTGAGAAAGGCACTTAAGGCAACAAGGAGCTTTGACCATGGCGCAAACATGTGGAGGAATTCGCAGAAGCTTTTGAGGTCTCCTATTCAATGTACACAGAAAAACACTTGCAGTAGGTTGGAAAGCAGGAATTTGTAGGCTGCAGCGTGTCTGCCTGGCGCAGAATACGTGTTGGTGCTTCCCAATTTGCGGACTCTCAGTTGCTTTTTTGAGGAAACACCAAATGCTTCTGGCTGTTTGCGTACTGATTTGAAGTACTAGGAGTCGCTGGCGCACGCTCACGCAGCCTCCGCTTTGGCCGCGGATGCAGACAGCGTCGAGGCAACGGGCTTGTGAGTGAGAATCGTGCCGTCTTTACATATGCCTTGGTCAACAAGAACAGACCTCGAGCGGGTTTCCCTTCAAATAACATCAACTACCAAGAAAGGGTGTTTTTGTTTCCACGGAAATCGATTGGAGGTCTGGGCAAAAGACCCTCCTAGGCAGGATGGCTGATCCTTTGACAACCAGGACCTTGGCCCGTGGCTCACAGCCTTTTTGACGGCACGGTTTTTGTGCAAAGACTAGGGGCCCTGTTTGGTTTATCCTACCATCTACATTGACATGCTGCACCATTGTACACCGTTTTCTTTGCACATGAATGTGTTTTTTACAGTTCAGGCCCCTTTCAGGTGGCCAATGTTGACCCCGGATCAAGTGGGGCAGACCCACCCTATCAACCAGGGGTTGAAGTGTCAACGAAATGAGGTGGACCAAATTGAACCTGCGAGGAGTCCGAGCACTCGCGGGAGCCGTCAGAAGTAGAGCCTGCTCAACCTACTATAGCATCCGAGGAGCAGCGTGGTCAAGTGACGTTTTGACTTGCGGTTTGTATGGATGGCTATGGAACCATGAGTGGGGGCAATTTAGGCAACTGTAGCAAGGATCCGTGAAAAGGCACCTCTGGCAACAAGGAGCTTTGACTATGGCTTCAACAGCCTCAGGAATTCACATGAGCTGTTGAGGTCTTCTACTCGGGGTACACAGAAAGCACTTGCATGACTCTCATTTTGAGAATGAGTTTCAGGCAAAATCGTGGTTTCCAGGCCAAAACCAGGGGGTCACTTAGGAAACACCAAATGCTTCTGGCTGCTTGCCAGCTGAATTGAAGTACTAGGAGTCGCTGGCGCACGCTCACGCAGCCTCCGCTTTGGCCGCGGATGCAGACAGCGTCGAGGCAACGGGCTTGTGAGTGAGAATCGTGCCGTCTTCGCATATGCCTTGGTCAACAAGAACAGACCTCGAGCGGGTTTCCCTTCAAATAACATCAACTACCAAGAAAGGTGTTTTTTTGTTTTTTCATGCACATCGATTGGAGGTCTGGGCAAAAGACCCTCTTAGGCAGGATGGCTGATCCTTTGACAACCAGGACCTTGGCCCGTGGCTCACAGCCTTTTTGACGGCACGTTTTTTTGTGCAAGGACTAGGGGCCCTGTTTGGTTTATCCTACCATCTACATTGACATGCTGCACCATTGTACACCGTTTTCTTTGCACATGAATGTGTTTTTTACAGTTCAGGCCCCTTTCAGGTGGCCAATGTTGACCCCGGATCAAGTGGGGCAGACCCACCCTATCAACCAGGGGTTGAAGTGTCAACTAAATGAGGTGGACCAAATGAACCTGCGAGGAGTCCGAGCACTCGCGGGAGCCGTCAGAAGCAGAGCCCGCTCAACCTGATATGGCATCCGAGGAGCAGTGTGGTCAAGTGGCGTTTGGATTTGCTTTTGGTACGGATGGTTATGGAGCCATGAGCAGGGGCAATTTAGACCACCAAAGCAAGGATCCGTGAGAAAGGCACTTAAGGCAACAAGGAGCTTTGACCATGGCGCAAACATGTGGAGGAATTTGCAGAAGCTTTTGAGGTCTCCTATTCAAAGTACACAGCAAAACACTTGCAGTAGGTTGGAAAGCAGGAATTTGTGGACTCTCAGTTGTTTTTCTTGAGGAAACGCCAAATGCTTCTGGCTGTTTGCTTACTGATTTGAAGTACTAGGAGTCGCTGGCGCACGCTCACGCAGCCTCCGCTTTGGCCGCGGATGCAGACAGCGTCAAGGCAACGGGCGTGTGATTGAGAATCGTGCCGTCTTCGCATATGCCTTGGTCAACAAGAACAGACCTCGAGCGGGTTTCCCTTCAAATAACATCAACTACCAAGAAAGGTGTTTTTTTGTTTTTTCATGGACATCGATTGGAGGTCTGGGCAAAAGACCCTCCTAGGCAGGATGGCTGATCCTTTGACAACCAGGACCTTGGCCCGTGGCTCACAGCCTTTTTGACGGCCCGTTTTTTTGTGCAAGGACTAGGGGCCCTGTTTGGTTTATCCTACCATCTACATTGACATGCTGCACCATTCTGCGCCGTTTTCTTTGCACATGAATGTGTTTTTTACAGTTCAGGCCCCTTTCAGGTGGCCAATGTTGACCCCGGATCAAGTGGGGAAGACCCACCCTATCAACCAGGGGTTGAAGTGTCAACGAAATGAGGTGGACCAAATGAACCTGCGAGGAGTCCGAGCACTCGCGGGAGCCGTCAGAAGCAGAGCCCGCTCAACCTGATATGGCATCCGAGGAGCAGTGTGGTCAAGTGACGCTTTGACTTGCGGTTGAGGAGGTGGGATTTAGACAACCACAGCAAGGATCCGTGCAAAAGGCACTTACTACAACAAGGAGCTTTGACCCTGGCTCAAACATGTCCAGGAGTTCGCATGAGCTGTTGAGGTCTTGTGCTTGAAGTACACAGAAAACACTTTCATACCTTCAAGCAACTTGGACAGGGATGACAGGGCCTGTCATCAGTGACCAGAAAGCCGGTAGGTTGGAAAGCAGCTACTTGTAGGCTGCAGGGTGTCTGCCTGGCGCGGAATACCTGTTGGCCCTTCCCAATGTGCGAACTCTCCTTTCAGGATTTGTTTGAGGAAACACCAAAGCTTTTGGCGCTTGCTCACTGAATCGAAGTACTAGGAGTCGCTGGCGCTCGCGCACGCAGCCTCCGCTTTGGCCGCGGATGCAGACAGCGTCCAGGCAACGGGCGTGTGAGAGAGAGAGAGAGAGATCGAGAATCGTGCCGCTTTTTACATATGCCTTGGTCAACAAAAACAGACCTCCACCGGTGCGTGCTTTTCTTTCTGGAGCGGGTTCCTCTTGAATGAGCGTCAACTACCAAGAAGGGGTGCCTTTTCTTCCCAAGGATATCGACTGGAGGTCAGAACTAGTTACTACAACCACCTGACTCATTTTGCCATACGCGACGCCTGAGTGTTTCTCAAAATCCAGGTGGCTGGTATTCTTTTGGCTTCCCTTCAACACCACGCGAAAAGGGCCTCTAATGTCGACCCTGGATTCCTGATTTTTGTTTTATTTTTTAAAGTGATTGTTACATGGTACACCCCGTATCAACCAGGGGTTGAAGTAAATCAGGACGCTTGCTACTGACAGGCGGCCAGAAGTGAGCCGGCCTTCTGAAAGGGTCCGGCAAGTCGACTTGCGAGGAGTCCCAGCAGTCGCGGGAGCCGTCAGAAGAGCCCGCTCTGCCTGCGATGGCATTTGAGGAGCTGGGCAATCAAAAAGACGGTTTGAATTGCGGTTTGTAAGGATGGTTATGGACAGAGGGCCAACTGTTGAAGGTGTTATCGGTTGTTTCCTGGATTTTGTTTTCCTCCGGGCTGGCTTTTGTGTGTTTTGCTTTTTGTGAGTGCCCATTGCTTTTCGTGCCCCAACAAACCCAATCAAACCCTACCCTAAACCCACCAGAAGCCAAGCGCCTAATGCGCGGCCAACCCAGCCCAAAACCAACCGAACCCTCCTAAACCTAAACCAAGCCTAAGCCCACCTCCAAATTTTCCCTAGCCTTGAACCCACCCTGAACCAACGCTAGCCAACCCTAAGCCCAGCCCAATGATGCTGAGGGTGTTGAAAACGATGCCGGGGATGTGGACAGGGCTGGTGCGAAACAAGTGCATTTTGCTTGAATATGTTTGTGAAATATGGCGTTTTAGCGCTGGGAGTAAGCCCAAAACCATCCTGAATTAAATCTCGACCCGTTGTGGACCCCTGAGGAGGGAATTTAGACCATACCAAAGATCCGTGTAAAGGGAGCGGATGCCCACAAGGAGCTTCCATGGATCGATTATGGCTTTGAAATTCCATTCGGAACAGCGTCGAGAATGGTCGGTGGACATAACTCCCATGTGAATCATGCCCAGTCCAACTTAAGTAGAGACTGACCAAGAGTGTCGGTGCCCCCTTTTGCGAGCTTCCAGTTTACTGAGTTTGCGGGCCAAACCATGAGAACGAGAAGTTTGTGACTTGCTGTTGCTCATTGAGCTGAAGGAGCCGATGCCGCACGCTCACACAGCCGCTGCGGATGCAGACAGCGTCAAGGCAACGGGGATGTGACTCAGAGCGCTGCCGGTGCGTGTTTGTGTTTTTGGAGGGTTTTCCGAACTTTGATTAACATCGACTAGTGACTACAACAAAAAAGCCCTTTGCTTCCCCCACAAACTGTGTTGACCTGAAACGGTGATCCGGTTCTGCTTTTGCACAGGCCGCCTCCTAGGAACTAGGAATTGAATTCTCAAGTAAATGAGCGACCAAAGGGAGCCGACCTTCTGAAAGGGTCCGGCAAATCAACTTGCGAGGAGTCCGAGCAGTCGCGGGAGCCATCAGAAGCAGAGCCCGCTCCGCCTGTGAGTGCATTCGAGGAGCAGGGCAGCTGGGCAGTCAAACTGCACCTTGCTGACCCATCGGTAGGGTATCTAGACTAGAGGAAGCGGTGTGCCCATCCTGGTCAGCCCAACCCCCTCAAACCCCAACGGGGTTTCAAAACCCTTTTGCGGGGTTGACAAGCTTTGTCTAATGCGTGCATCAGTAACCTTCAGGATGTCAATGGAGACAAGATCCGAAACAGTGAAACGAACACGGAACGCATGAGTTTTATTTCATGAAGTACTCGTAGGTGTTGGATGATTGTGAACATGATCGAGTGCGGTGGACTGACGCCGCCCATGTTGGCTGTGCTTCGTTTGGTACGGTTCGCACTTGTTCAGGAGGCAGCTTCGCGTCCACTTGATTCCATGGAAGACACTCTGTGTCCGGAGGCCAGGTTTGTCCGTGTCTGCTTGTTCAATAGACCTGCCATCCTACGTAAGATAGTTAGGAGGCCCGGCAAAAAGAACAAATCATGTCCTTGGTGCTCTCAGTGGAGTGCGCACAAATGTCGCCCCCAAGAAATTGTTTATTCACCTAGCCTACTTGTTTTTTGCGGACCTGCCTGAGTTTTGTGAGCCGTGCAATTCAAGATTGGAGCCCAAAATAGCCCGCATAAACAACTACAGATTTGGGGGGTCCATCTTAATCTGCCGATTCATGCATCGGCAGGCTGAGCAAGCATTTGCCCCAGATGCCGAGATCCTCAAGGCGATGGCGGGAATGTCAATGTCCACCCCAGATCCAAGTGAAGCTGGCTAGCGGATTGCCCTCCCAGCATGGACCTGAGGGTTTTCGGGGGGTGCCCTTATTTTCCTTTGAAAGGGACCCTTTGGTGGGTTCCATGTTAATGTTGACCCAGGATTAATAAACCCGTCCCACCATTAGGGGGGTGGTCCCTCCAAAAGTGACGAATCCCCACTGAAAGGAATTGGACACCCCCTACTAATCAACCGGTGGTTTATTAGTCTGGGGTTAACATTCGTGGAGACGAACTTTCTAACAGAAGGGTGCACCGGAAGTGATCAGGGCCCGTCAGAAGTGGGACATCCCTTTTCATCCGGCATGTTCCCGCGATATCCTCTGGGCTGGGACTGAAAACAAGACGGCTGTGGCATCGCTTGCTTTGCTGGCCATGAATTGAGACATGGAGGTGCTTGTTGCAGATGCTGGTTTCCACATGGAGTATGCCCTTCAACTCTTGATTTGACAACTGTGATATTGTGGACACCTTTGGGTCCTAGATTTCGAACACGTTTCAATATGTTTTAATGCCCCGAATCCTGCACCACTGTCAGTCAATGTCATCGATGTGGAAATTGGTAAACTTGCTGTACCGTATGGGTGCTAAATGGCGCATCATATTTGACTTCACCTACAAGGAAGCCAACCGGGATGACCAAACTTCCCCTGTTTGGCAGCCAGTTATGCTTCAGAAGCATCAGAAAGCGTGCTGTGCGCGGGACCGTGCATAAGCAGACGAGGCTGCCGCGGCAAGCGACGCCGAAAAGGTGTTCGAGGAGGGGCAGGCCATGCTAGGATCATCGACATAGATTTACGTCAGTGGTTCAGTGCCACCCACTTTGCATTTTTATTTGCCGGGTTCCCCACTAAAGATGTTCAACCCCCAGAAAGGGCGAGAAAGGGTTCCCTTCTTCTATCCCGGTTGTGACTGGGTTCTTGAGGCACGAGCTTTTTGAGGTCTCCCACGGGGTCGGGCGCACAGAAAGTTCATATGCATACCTCCCCCCGCAACTTGGAACGGACCCTTCATCCAGGGAGCTCGTTTCTTGGAAAGCAGCTGGAAGGCTACAGGATGTGCCAGTGTGGAACTCGTGTCGGTGTTTCCGAAGAAGAAACGGGCGGACTCCCGTGAGCTTCAGGGAAAAAAACCAGTGGTATACGCCGGCCAAATCCAAAGGGGCCCCAGTCATTTTTTTGAGGAGTGGCCCAATGCTGCTTACCATTTCGTCATTGAATTGAGCTAGGAGGCGCTGGCGCACGCTCACGCAGCCTCCGCTTTGGCTGATGCGGACAGCGTCAAGGCGACGGGCATGTGACTCGGAGCGCTGCTTGTGGCGCGCGTTTATGTTTTTGTTGGAGGCTTTCCCCTTGAAGTAAGCTCGGCTACCAGCCACCAAGAGAGGGTGCCCTTTTGTCCCTGGGCTGGAAAGAAGACCAGGTTGCTTCTTGTGACTAGGGATGCTTGCCGATCCTTTTGACAGCCCTGCGTGTTGATTGTGCAACGAGAGGCCCTGTTAGGTCTAGCTAGAATCCGAATATTAAAATTACATCAACATACACCAACCAGCTGACTCGCGTTCACTTTCCACATGATGGCAGGTTTCGTTTTGGTTTTCCTTCCGAACAAAAGTATCGGGCTTTCCGATACATGTGATATCCCTACCAACCAGGGGCAAATCAACTCGCGAGGAGTCCGAGCACTCGCGGGAGCCGTCAGAAGAGCCGGCTCTTCCTGGGAGGGCATTCGAGGAGCTGGGCTGTCAAATGACTTGACTTGCGAGTGAGGATGGATATGGAAGGCTTAGTCGGGAAGTTACTCGGCATTTAGACAACTATAAAATTAGAATCCGTGTAAAGGGAACCTATGCCAACAAAGGGCTTTGTCCATGGCTCAAATATGTCAACTTGCATTCGGGGCGACCTCACAAATGGTCGGTGGACATAACCCCATGCAAGTGATATCCAGAAGGTCCAACTAAGAAAGATACCCATATAGGCAACTGCCCATCAAATTGGTAGTCTACTGTCACTCCAGGAGAGGGGTCGGGACCAAAGAGCTACTCCAAAAGCTGAGCTCTCGGCCTCTCGGATCGCAGGATGCATCCCTGGGTGCGGAGGTGGCGCGGTTGCAGGCACTGGCTGCCACTTGTGCGTTGAAGCGATGGAGTGAACCTTGTGGGAGTTTTAAGGCCGTCATTACAATACGGCTGTGGGTCAAAATATGTACTCGTACCCAAAATGGAACCCTGGTAGATGGAACCAACGACTCAAACCTGCGGTCACCTGGTGGCTAAATTTTGACTCATACCCATTTGTTGGAGGATGTCCCTCACACGGCTATTGACGGAGGCATGTTGCCAGGGAGAAAGTCACGCTGTATACAGGTGGTGGTTGCTAAGAATCGTTCCATCAGCGCCCAAGATTCCGCCTGTAGTCGGGAATTACGTGGGGTTCTTTGAGTATGTTCTTCCGTTCCGTTTAAAAATCCGAAGTCAACAGATGTGAGACAATTGCATGGCCACTCGTTTTGTTTTTCAGTGTTTCAGCTCAGGAGGCTAAGCCGCTTGCCAAGCATGACGATCACAAGGCGGGCTGAATGCTGAGGGGCTCAAGGGTGGAAGTTTGGCTATCCCTTTGGTTTCTCAGTTCAGGCGCCTTTGTTTCACCCTGCCTTTCGGACTTCAGAGCTTTTCTTTGTCGGTTGCTTATTTCCCGGTGAGTTTTCGGTGCCAGGTCTGTTGGTCCGGGTTTTAATCCCGCAGTAAGTTCAATGCATATGTGTCCTCCCTTGTATCTCCGCGAAGCGAACACCAAACAACAAGAGCCGGGCAAACTAGAAATCGGGGGGCCACAGGGGCCTGAGATTTTGTGGGGTAAAGGGAACTTGGTGAACGGGTTCTGACAAAAAAACGACACAAGGTCCAAAAGAAGAAACAGGCTCCGAAGCTCGAAAGAATGGCCCAACCAGAAGGCTAGAACGGTTGCGCATTTCAATGTGTTTGACGGAGCCTTTGGAGGAGATTCATCCCTGTTGGGGATCAGAAAACGGACAGCCCAGCATTGAACATCCCTCATTTCTACTGTGTTGCCGTTTGGAGGAGGCTAGAGCAGCTTTGGCGAGACATCTTAGGCAGAACTGCCGAAGCTTTACCCGATGTTCTGCTCCGGAAATTGGTGGCATAGAGGTTCAAGAGTGGCTCTACGACACAAATGACTGGGCTGAAAAGCGCTGTTGATGCTTTGTTCTTAGACATTGGGAGGGCACCCTGTTCATCTTGGTTTCAAGGGGCACCAAAAACAAAGAGCACACCGACACAAACCCAGGCAGTTGGGTTTGGGGATGCCCATCATGCCAGTTGAGGCCACGCGGTACTTCCGTGCCATGGAGGTCTTGGAGGATCGCTTGCTTCAAGCGCGGGGCCTATTCGCCTGGCCAACGCCTGGTTGAAGCCTTGAGTGATGCGGCTGTGGTTGTCCAAACCAATGGGATCCCATGTTGGGGTAGGTGCACCACCCTTTTTTTCTAGTGGGGATTGGGATGTTCACTCGGAGTACGGGATTTTGACCCATGACCATGCGATTTGAAGTTGGTAGCCTCCCCTTTTCACAGTTCGGGGGTCCTGGTTTGGAGCATGTTGCTTTGGAAGGGACCGGGTCCCGAACGTCAGGTTCCACGTGAATTGGTGCGGGGTACCAACTTTTGGGTGAGGTAACCGTACGGTTTGGATTGATTTGAAGCCCTGGCTTTTGTGGGTAAATGATTGAATGGTTTAAACCACCCGCCCTGCAAGTCGCCAATCCAAGAGCCAATTGGGGGTAAGGTGATTTGGGTGGGTTTACAGGAAAGCCAACATTGAAAAAAGAACCACAAGTATTGGGCCCATAGTGGTGATAGATAGGGTTGTTGGTTGTCAATTTCTGAGATACCAAGGGAACCCCTTCCAGAATGAAAAGCTATTCATGGGAATGACCATATTGGCATCACACAAGGAGTGACTCTCCACAATCATGTTGGGGTCAGGTTTGCCTTGGTGGACATATCCGCGAAGTCAGGCTGTTTGATATACGGAACTTGCACAGAATCCATTCTCGTGTTTCTGCGATTTCAGCCCGACATCTCTAAAGCCATATGCAACTTGTCTTATAAACAAAGTCTCTGAATGACGAAACAACTCACGCACAAGGGACACTGGAACCTTGATGCGTTGACTGTGCAAGTGAGCGCCCTGCACATGCTTTTGTGGCTTGCTAGCTGACTATTGGGCAGACACCTGCCACCTAGTAATGAGTGGATGGTGATGATGCCAGACCTGGGTATATAAATCTAGAAAACAGTTTGGATGCGCTTTCTGTGGATTTCACCTGGCTTTGCCCCCTGTTCGTCCTATTTTAGTGATCTTTTAGTACTCTTTCAATATCCTACAGGGGTGGATCCACAAGAGCCACATCCAATTCGTTTTCTAGAATAGATACCTGTAGCATCCCGACAAGCCTAGCGCCGCAGTTGTTGCCCCGTACTCACGCTAGGCAGTCCAAATTGCCAGCTGAAGCATGGCGGGAGTATTTCAAATTTCTGTACATGACTCGCGATTTTTCTGCATCTCTAGGGAAGTGACCGGACTCCAGGACGTGACCGGGCCGAAAAGGACCCGGAACCCGGCCATCTCTGAAGCGGTACGGTGGTTTTCTCGGGTCGATTGCCTCCAAGGAAGCTCCTCAGCCATTCGGCAAGGAAGCCACGAAGGCGCCCGACTGGGGTGTGTTTTTTGAGCTGGTACTAAACGGAAAACCAGCTTGTGGTTGTAAAGGAAACCAAAAGGAAACCAAAAAGGAAGCCAAAAGGACACCATAGTGTGTGTGTGTGTGTGTGTTCTTTTTTGTGGTTTTGAAGGAAACCAAAAGGAACACCGTCTTGTTGGGTGTCCCCGGAAAAAGAGGCACTCGCTTTATTTGATCAGGAGTCCTTCCCTTGAATTGCATCAAGGCCCTTTTGCAGCTTCCTCCATAGAGGCGGTGGATTAGGATTGGCCCACCCCCACATTGAATAGCCCAGATTTGGGGACGCATGGTTGCCTTGTAGGGACATGTTGGTTGGGCTTGCACTGCAAACAGACGAAAACATAGTTGTGCGGTGCTGTGCGAAATTGGACTTGGGGGCCACTCTGCGTACCAACCATGGCCATCCCCGTCAAAGCTGGCAGTAAAGTGATACAGTGGTCATCGGGATGAGGCCCTCTTCCACACGGACGGAAAGATTGAGTTGTTTTCCAGGCTGACTTTTCTATAGGTGTTCCTCCCCAATGAAACACCTCGACGGAGTCTCTTTCATTTCCCGGAGAGAAACAACCCCGAAAAGTGGTGCCGCCCTCAAGAGACACATACCCTTTGACCACCTGCCCACCAACGCTTGCACCGAGTTGCCTTCCCACAAACGAGGCAAATATGAGCCATTGGAGGTTAAGCATGAGAAGGTGCTTCCCATACTCGTTGCATGCATCGGGTAGGACTCAACACTCAGGAGAAGCATTACCCCCCCGGAAAGAGTTCGGAATTCATTCAAGACCCTTCCTAGGGGTTGGGTCGGTGCCTTCCTTTTGCATAAGCAACCTGTTAGCCTATGGGCTTGTTCACTGGTTGATGTGTTCCAAGGGGGGACCGTCAATTGAGCCACTGTCAAAACCCGGATAGATGAAGGTTAGTAAGAGACAATCCCAGCCATAAATAGCTGCGGATATCCGCCTTCTTGATTCTCTACGTGGTTCTGGGATTGCGACCGTTTCAATACCGGGTTTTGATTGTGACTCAATTTTCAACTCCACCGCGAGGAGGAGATGCAAACTTTGGAATCCTTTGTGGCACCTACTGCGAAATTGCTGCAGGCGCGAATATAATTCGATCGGGTGAGTCGATGGGTGCTGACGATCCATGGGAGAGAAAGCACAGCTTGGAGTGAATCCAACTTGACTCAAATGTGTGGATTTGGCCCCAACAGATCCGAACAGTAGTCACGGTTTCCTCCTAGAGAGATGCCACTTGGTTCAAAAGATGGGGGGGCAAACGCATCGCCCTCTTTCCGGGCGTCTCAAACGAGGTGGGGCTAAGAACCGGATCCTCCAAGGGCCGGGCCGCCCCATTGGCGTCATTTGAAGCCGCAGGCTGCGGCGGACCTTGGGCACCAGGCTGGAGCAGGGAGCATCTTTTTGCATAAGAATATGGGTATGAATCAAAATTAGGGACCCTTTGGTGGACATCATTTAGGTGGGGATTTATGTCCACCAAATTCCACCAAGCACTTTTCAGGGGGTTCCCCATTTAAATTCATAGCCATATGGGTGTGGCTCAAAATTAGAAAGCAGAGGTTACGCGGGTTTTAGTCATCGTTTCCGTACAAAAGGGTGAATTTTGGGTACCATCTTTTGAGCCACTGCCATATGTGTTTCATGTTTCTCTGTTGGTGTTTAAATTAAAAGGAAACTATCACTACTGGAAAACAATGTCCATTTTATTTCATGGAGATGAAGTAAATGGAAGATATCTGATGGTTACGTGGCATGTTCCTTCTAAGAATCTTTAAGTAAGCTGATTGCCTTGAGTTCAGAAACGTTACACAGTGTCTGGGACACAGGTGGTCGTGGTTTCCAGTACGGGGCTATATATCGACATGACCCACATTTGAAGGTGTTGTGAGCATCGACCTGACAGGCGGTCATTGCGTCAGTTTGCATCCACAGCTTGCTTCAACCGAAGTTGGTGTTTCAGATCGAATGACTTGCTGTTTGTAGTGGGTGGCAACCCAACCCATGACGTTCCAGCAAAGGCCGGCACCACGTAGATACAGGTGTGTGTGTGTGTGTGATCGCGCCTTTTTGATTGTAACCAGTACCGTTCGGGGTCGTCGTCTTCTGGGGCAGGGAAGCCAACAAAGGCTCCGGCGCAGGCGGAGGATGATCTGTCGGACTGCTTCCCTCCGGCACGGGCTTGAGGCTTAGAGATGTCGGGCTGATGGGGTCTCCTCCAGACCTAAACCTATGTGTATGTTGAGGTAGTCTAAATGCTCAGTTGCCCAAAGCGAATCGACCCTTTGATCTTTTGGTTTTACCGTTTTCGTCCATTTTTTTCTCATGGTCCCAAAAGGTACACCTTTAAATTCATTTCCAGGGCCTCTGGGCAACTGAGAATATGAAGCAGCAGAAGAGTATAGAGATGTGGGCCAAGATAGTTGTTTGGCTGCGTCCCGTTGAACCTTTCTAGTTTCTTGTTTGCTTGTTTTTTTTTTTTTTTTTGTGGGGGGGGGTGGGGGCGGCAGCGGAGGGGTGGGTGGGTGGTTACTTTGAGAAGTCGAATGAACTTATTTTGCGGTTGCGCTGTGCCGATGTTTCAGCAGATCCAAGTACTGGAGTTGATGTGGCAACCCACGAATTGGCCCCTGCGCTGGCTATTTATTCACTTCCTGAGTTCCCTGTCGGACTTGATGATTGCACTTGTTGGAAAGACCATTTTAGTGGTAAATAGCACGTTTGAATTTGTTGTTGTCTATTCCACACAGGAAGCGATCATTTTTGTATGTGGCTGCCGCGGAAGTTGCTGGGGATGCCAACTAAATCCATCAGAATCCAATCCAATGGTCATGGTGCCACGGTGGCACTAAATATACGGCTGATCAACGCTGCTCGTCCAAGGGCAAAATCGTGTGTGTGTGTGTGTTGTATAACCAGACTTGTTAGCACACTCTCGCGCACACAGCTCCTTGACGTGCTGCTTCATCGACCAAGGATGAAGCAGACCCCGTGTCAGGCTCAGAGCGCTCTAGAATCTAGCCCCAGCTTCACAGTCCTCTTTGAGCTAAGGTTTTAGCCGCTACGTGTTGTTCTGAGTTGTACGTGTTGCCTTGTTGCTTGGTGGGGGCTTTAGACAGTTTTGTGTGTGTGTGTGTGTGTGTGTGTGTTTCTGTGTTAAATCGGTGTATGGCTGTGTGGTTTGTGTCTGTGTATATTTTTGCTCTGCCTCTCTCTCTCTCTCTCTCTATCTGTCTTTGTGTCTCTGCGTGTGTTTTGTGTTTGCATGTCTGTCTCTGTGTTTGTGTCCGTGTCTGTCTGTCGGACTGTTTGTGTCTCTTTGCCTCTGTGTCTCTCGGCGTGGGTGGGCGGGTGGTTGGGTGGTTGGGTGGTTGGGTGGGTGTATTAACAATGTTTTATCTATCAAGGGGCTATTGGTCTTTTGGCTGTCCATGTCGAATCATGACACCTGTATGGCAAAGGGGATGTGCCTCAATGATTGGTGGCTTTTTTAGAGGAACCACTTTTGGCTGGTTGCTGCAAACCAAAGGAAATCCATCCGTTGGAGTTCCGGAGATCTAGCCGTTTGGTTCAGCAAGCACATCGGACAGAAGACGGTTGTCTACTAGCAAGATTGAAAGGCAGTTAGCGCAGTCGAAGCTTAAGCAGATTTCGTCCCTTCGGCTTGTCTTGCTCATTCATTCTGACATGGTGACGGTGGTTATAGCATCGCTTCCTCAACACGCAGGGGGGGAGCGGTGGACCTGGAATTTGACAGGATTGTGGGATTGTGTTTTATTGGTACCTTGCTGTTTGGAACCGAAGCCAAAGGGAAACCAGCCTTTCTGCAAGTTCCCCCATTTCAACATAGACCAAGATACTCTTCACTGGGAACCTCCAAAGCTCGGGTGTAGTCCAAGGGGTGTCATAGAATCCTCGCTCTGGAGCGTGCAACGAAGTGAGGCTCAGAGAGCGCGGGCCCGGGGCCGAGAGATGCCGGCGATTTCTGAAAAGCGTCACCACCCCCAAAGAAACCTTTTGGTTTTCAAGAGTTTGGGCTGGTTGACGGAGGCCTTGGTTATAGTGATCAATGGATTCACTCCCCATACATGTCCTCGGTGGGGATGCGTTGCCAAGCTTTGGACCCATCTGGTCTTGATATGGCAGCTGATCGTACCTTGCTCAAGCTCCAATTTTCAGAATCTACCATCCGGCAGTGGCTTGTCCCTGCCTGTGGCAGGCAAACCGATCGGGAACCAAAACGCTCAACATAGACATGGTACACCTAGAGAACCAACAACACTGTTGTTTTTTAAGCCGTTGAACCCATCCAAAAAGGAAAAACACAAATGGAAGCAACAAACGCCATACTTCAAATCCACCCCCCAACTAGGAGCAAATGACACCACTAGATGGATAGACCGCAGATGAAATCGATCTGTAAAAATGGTGAACCGCAACCCCCCGCGCGAAAGTCTCGGACGCCTTCGCGTCATGGCGGCTGCTTCGGTGAGCTCCTGGCTCCAGCGCTTTGCTTCGCGCAACGGGGGGGATGTAGAGAGCCTCTTTGCAGAGGAGCTGGATGGGAAGCTCAAAAGGGTGTTAGGGGTGGGGGGGTGTGGGGGTTGGGGGTGGGGTGTCTCGGGGAGGGGGTGGGGGGGTTAGGGGGATGGTGGTGTCAGGGGGTGGGGGGGCGGGGGGGTTTGGGGGGGGGGGGGTCAGGGAGGGGGTGGGGGGTCAGGGAGGGGGTGGGGGGAAAGGAGGTGGGGGGTTAGGAGGTGGGGGGTTGGAAGTTGATTCCTACCAGGAGTGGGTCAAAATGTGGTTAGCAGGAGGCTAAATTGCCTATGGGTTTAAGTAGTTTGTTCCAAGGGAAGCCAACAGGGATTGGGAGCTTGGCAGCTGTCCGGTAGTGTTGAAGTGGATCAATGAGGCTGTCCTTGTTTATAGGGAATCCTTCACTTGGAGGAGGGTTGCTCCCGGCCGTTCCTGATTATTCTCTGTGCCAGGGGGCCCATATGGGCCTCCAAGTTTGTTTACACGGACGAATACCCAAACCGAATCCAAAGATTGGTTTAAACCAACAAGCTGATTCCTTATATACCCCTTGAAAGGGTTTAAACTTTTGAGAATCTTCAAATTTGAGGTGTTGTCAAAATCATGGACCCTTTGGGGACCTGGTGGATACGGGCCCCTACTTTTGAAAAACCTTCAAATATGTTCAAAGAATTGGCGTGGGTTGCTTCGAAATGAGGAAGTTAATCGACCCCTCCACACGGTTCATTTCCGTTGGCTCCCTGTCCAAACCAAGCAGGGGATCCCAAAAGACGAGGCGCCCGATAAACAAATTGAGCATGGATCCCAAAGAGTTAAAACTGCTTGGAGGAGAGTTGTGTCTTTCTTGCGGGCAATTTCCTGGGGGTCCGAATCCTAAACAAGGACGAGCCACCCATTTGGCTCTGGGTCAAAACCCATGGAAACCCATTTTGGGGTAGCTGCACCCATTTTAGAGCCTATTTTAGTGATGGTCATCGGATGTTCACTGGGGTACGGGTACGATTTGGAATTTGACACATGGCCATTTGAGCAATGTTGACCCCATATCTAAATCAACCCCAGTTGGCTAATAGGGGGGTGTTCCCCTCCAAAAGTAGTCTGATTCCCCACTAAAGCAAGGGACACCCCCTATAGGCCATTTGTTTCCGCACCAGTGGAGCCGGTCTGGTGTTTTTTTTCAGCCCGAAGCCTGCAGGAGTGCTACTGGCGGGACCTGGTCGCGCTGACTTGGAACTTGAAGACGCACGGACGAACAATTGCCCCATGTGGCTGTGGGTCACAAATAGGGTACCCCCCAAATGGCTTGCCCTGGTAAATGGAAAGAAGGACCAAAACCTGCGGTCCCCTCGTCTCGTGGTTTAATTTTGACCCATACCCATGTGAAAAGGAACCCTCAGAAGAAAAGCCCACAGGAGGTTGGACAATTCTGCGTTTTCGAGACCCCTTGTTTAGCACCAATCAAGAGAGCAGCATTTCGAGACATATCAATAGGCGTCCATTTTGAACGTCCAATTACTTTGCAAGACGGGCGTGGGCTATTGCGCTTGGCAATTGCACTGCTGAACACCTATGCTGGCATCAAACTGTCAATAGTCTCTACACATATTTGATCCATTTGGAGGGTAAATGTGGGTAAATGTTGAATGCATGGGGTATTTGGGTTTGGGCTGCTGCCCAGACACCAACCCTTAGATTGGCTTGTTGCTGTCAAACTTAACTCACTCCCAAGTTCATGGACGTTAAACATTTGGGAAGACCGTTTGGTGTAAATGGTTTCCTGGTTGCTTGTCGGCGCGAGCAAAACACAAGGATAACACGGGATGGTTGGATTTGACAAGTGCACAGATGTTTTGTTTGAGTACCGGAAAGTGAAAGTACATATGATCTATGTCAGGTGTACCCCACAGTTGCCTCCTTTGAGAGAGAAAATAGACGGCAACTCCTGGTTGACCTGGTTGTTTTTCACAATCTACCGGGGACATCCATCGATTTTCCAAAAAAGAAGAGGCTCCTGTGCCCAAACTGGTTATTTTCTCTTGCTGTTTTTTAAAGGACATCTACCACTCCCGGCAATATGTTCTTTTTTTTCCAGGGGTCTTAAGCAAATGGAAGCTTGGGTTCCCTCTTTGGAGACGCCAGAGCCCCCAAGCTCTGAGCTGCCCGCGCCCAAAGGACGGTGGAGGGCCGAAAGGCGATCGCAGAGCTTGCCGCGGCAGCGCCTCTGGAGGCGCCCTTGCCATGGATCTGGGAGGAATCCAGAGTTGGCTGTGTCTCTTTTGAGGCTACTTGTTTTTGCTCTCTCTTCTGCTCTTTTTTTTTTGGGGGGGGGGGACAACCTCACATAATATATATATATATATATAGTTATTTATTGTAAACGCTTCGCGTCGCCCGCCTCGGCCAGTCCGCTTTTGGCTGGCTTTGAGGCATATGCTGTGCTTTAGTTTGCCTTGAAGTGTTGTGATTAAAGTGAGTGAGTCGGTGCATGTCCCCGCGCCACCTGGCTTCAAGAACCAGAAGCCGCAGAGAGCTACAGAATGGTGGGCCATAGCGCAGGGCCAAACTGCTAAGGAACTTGGCGTTTTTTTTGATTTATGCCGGTTTCTAGGGGGATTTGACGGGAGTTGGACCTTCTTTTTTTTTTCAGAGGGGATTTGACCGGTTTCTAGAAGGGAGTTGGACTGGTTTCTGCGGTTTTTAGTGGGGAATTGATGGTTTTAAAGTGGAGTTTGGCGGTTTCTGGGGAGGTTTGACCGGAGTTCAACCAGCTTTGAGAGGAAGCAGACCGGGACGGGTTTGCGGGGTTGAATCGATCTGACCTCCCGGCCCTGAGCAGCTCGGATCATTTTTTTTGAAGTGGGGAAGGGGTTGAAAATGGGGTTTAGAAGATCCCGAAGAGGTTCTGGAGGGTCTGACCGCTTCCCGACCCTGGGGGCCGAGGCGAATATTTATGTAGTATATATATATATATGTATTATGTGTATGCATATACAGATATATGTCTGTTGCTTTTTGAGACTTGTCGGGGTCGCCTAAAGACAAATGCGCCCAAATCGCTGGCTGAACAGTTTGCCTGGAGGATCCCTTGGTATTTTCTGAGGATGCCAAGAGCGTCAAAGTGCATCCTCAAGAACCCTGGGTGAGTACCCCATCTAATTTGGAGGAACATCTTCTTATGCTTCCCTCAGGTTGATTCCAATAAAATCAAGACTTCACATTGAGCCGCAAGAGCCGGAATCTCCGCTGAGGCAACCTCCTTTTAGGGGCTCCATATTGGCTTGGGGGTGCCTTGTGTTGAGAGAACCCGTTTTGGGGGGTTGCTTCAGGGAAAACCATCATTCTGGGGGCACATTTTTAAGACACACCCCTGTACACTGTACAGCCCCAGCACTTGCGCTTGTCGCCCCCCTCTCGGACGAAACTGAAAGGCCTGGGCCCGCTCACCCGCAGTCCTCTTGCGAGGCAACGAAGGATTGGAAGCTCCAGGATGATGCCGAGGAGGTTGAGGACCACCTGGAGGCCCGGTTTTTAGGGATTTTGGCGATGAGTTCTTGATGCAGCACAATCCCCAGTATCATTGAATCATATGAAGACGGGTGTAATTACAGTACGTATCACAAGCTGAATTGATTGCTTGTTGAACACCTTGAATGCAGGGTGATTGTAGAATACCCCATGCGATAAGTTCTGTCCGCCAAGGTGAAAAGTGTGCAACCAAGTAAAGTTTATTTTCAGTGAGGTTCGATCAACATACCGTTTCTCTGGTCCATGTGGGAGAAACAAGGGGGGGAACTCAATCAACTAGTATGATTAAACACTACAATCAAGGGGACTCGATTTCCCGCGTCCTTTAAGTTACCGCATTTCATTGACCATGGATGGGAGGGAAGCATGTCGTGGGTTTGATGTTGAGCCTTGAATTGTGAGATGCTGGTTCGTTTACACCAAATAGCAAACAGAAACAATTTTTGCAAAAGGGGCAATTGCCACCTGTTGCATGGGGCTGTTTAGCATTGTTGCCCCTTTGAGACCAACCTTCAGATTCAATGAAAGTCAGCCTGTGGAATGGTAACGGTATTGAAGCACGACTCAACGGCCTGCTCATAGTTTCAGTAATAACTCTTGAACACATGAGGCTTAATTGAGGGGTGGGGGGGGTCCTAAAATGAGGATGCTGTTTGAAAGCGCTGAACACTAGTTCCCAAGACCCGAGCCGCGGTCAAAAAGGAAGAACAATTTGCAACCTGTCCGATTGGGAACAACCTGGGGTCTTGTAGAAGAAGACATTGGGTTGTTCTTGTTTTTGCTTTAACCGGCCAAGGGAAAACCGAAAAGCTGGGAGAGCCGATCATAAGCAAGAGAACATCGCGGGTTGCTTCTAGATGTTGCAAAGCAAAATCAACAACAACAAAAAAACAATA